ATATAAATATATTCAAAATGGATGATTTTTATATATATATGTATAAAAATTAGATAAAATCTGTTATCCTCAGATTAATTTTTCCTTCGTGATTGCTGAAGAAATGGTGTTAATCAGGGAATTATGAAAGATGCATAATTAAGATTCTTAAACACCAATTGCTCATTTAAAAGTCCATTTCGCTTTGTGGTGTAGCAGCACTAGGATTTGCTAACACAAAATACCTGTGGTTCCTGTTCCTTGTGCTGTGCTTAAATCCTTGTTAGTTGACAGAGGACTGATAGAAATGGTTTTGGGGGACCGCAGTGCTTTTAGTTCTGATCTTTGCATAAATAGAGAGGAAGTAATTCTTAAGAATTTTTTAAATGTCCCATGGGTTCCCATTTCAGTCTCAACAGTTTTGAAAATACAGGAAAATATTGGCAATTTCTATGAAGATTTGGTTTCCTGGAAAGTTGGAGGAAATCTGTGTGTTCAAAAAAAAAACAAGCCCAACCCCAAACAAACAAGCAAATTCAGGATTTAATTATGTAAAATACTTTGCTTTCATTCTTTTCCCCAAATGTTTAAAGTCCTTATGGATTAAGTGTAAGACTGTGCTACTAGTTACTTAGTTTATGGGAATTAACTCCTTTTAGTCTAGAGAAAATGGAAAAATGTCTTTTGGTTATTTGCTTCTGAAGACAAGAACATAAAAATTACTCTTTTCTGTATTCATTCTGTACTCGAACTGTTAAGTTTTTTGGCAGCAAAGTCACAGTTTTTGCAGCTTTCTGTTTACTTTGTGAAATCTTTTTTCCACCCTGTTTCTTACAAGCTTTATAGCAGCAGCCTTTGGTGTTAGAACCAGTTATTGCAGGTCTCTGATTTTGCTCTTATTTTTGCATCTCTGGCTTGGAAGAGGTCCCAGGGTGGTCCCAGTGACTCCAGAGCAGGGGAGGCACAGCACAGGTACACTGCTGTTTACAGAATTGCTGTAATCCCTATCCAGGTAATTCCTTAGAGGTTATCAGTGGTTGTTGAGGCCATAATCTGAACCTTGGTAAGAGGAACTGTGCTGATGGTACATGAAGAGGAATAACTATGAAGTTGCAAACCCTGGAAAGCAAAGGAGTTTGATCTGCGTGAGTGTGGCTTCCAAGCCAGACATACTTGGTGTGACACTATCTGGAGTAGATGTGCTTATCCAGGCTGAGGCACTTGACCATTTTCTATTTTTAATATGGACATGGACATATCTTGGATTTTATAGTTCTTCCCCCTCACTTTTTTCCTCCTTATTTCTCTGACTGCTCTTCGAAATCCTGTCTTATTTAATGAACCATTTTGCTCCCTGCTTTCAGCAATCTTTCTTAAGCTGTTCTGTCACTTTCCTCTTCTGTTCCCACCCTTTTCCTTTACTTGCTGTCTCTGTGCTCTCAACCTTGAGCCATGCTTTAACCATTATCTCTGTGGGAGAGGAAAAAGGAAAGACAGTGATTAAACAAGCAGCTGCCCTTCATCTGGTTGGTCTTGGTGCCATTCTTGGGAGTACTGAGACATCTTGCGCTGGGCTCTTGATCCTTCTCCACAGACGTGCCCTGCAGAGACACTCACACTTGCCTCGGGCAGCACCATCGTTCTCCCAGGCATTCGCACATGTAGCTTGGGTTTTGGCTTTGACAAGACCTTTTTTATTTGAACAGTATATTTCAAGGCACTTTTAAATCTTCCTGTCACGTCTGAAACACAGTTAGGGCTGAATCTCGCCACCCACAGTGCAAAGTAAAAAGGCCTCACAGAGCTCCTCTTACCTGATTCCTTGGTTGCTTGAACTTTGTATCTTCTGGCCTGGACTGCTCCTGCTTTTTTTGGTGTTCATTCGTACTGGCTCATTTTTCTGACCCCCTTGATCCTTTTAAAGCCATTTCACAGGCTTTCCCTCCCGTTCCACATCTTATCTGGGATTCTGCTCTCTATTCAACACCTGTGTAGCAAACCCAGATTATCAGGTAAATTTTCAACCTTCTTCCTTAGCCCTGCAATGTAACCAGTTGGCTTTATCTGGGAATAACATGATGCTTTTTTCCTTTCTAGCCATTGCATGTACGGGAGAGAATGCAGGGAAATCCAAGTGGCTCCTCTCACATTCTCATTTGGATTTGTCATACACATGTCAATTATTTAGCTCTTTCTGTGAAAAGCTAGGTTTTTCCTCGTGTCATGAGAAGACAGGTGAGGAGCTAAGGCTGTTTTCCCTTCCTTTCTCTAACATTCATAGTTTTGCTTTAATTGACTTACAAAGAAATAAACCAAAAACCGACAAGAAGTAAAGAAAGGTGCAGTCTGTCCTGGTTTCTTCATCTCAATAAATCCTAATGATCCAAGTAATCACCCCTCTTTCTTGAAAAGCTACAGGTGAAATGTGTGAATAAGAATTTGTCAAAGAGAGAGAGAGCTTTTTTGTTGTTCTTGGAATGGGTTTTTTGCAGTATTAGAACAGCTCTAATTGGAGGCAGTTAGAGGAGCTCATCACATGCAAATATTTGTCATTTAAATTAATGCATGTTAGGCATCCACTGGTAACAGCTGATTTGGGAGATTTGTTGCATCTGTCTTCCCCACAATATATCCCTCTTATTCAAATAATAAAGAATCAAAGTCCTGTTTCTGCAAGTAAAAATAATTGACATCCAGAATTTGTAACTTGGGGATATGCAGTTCTCTCCCTTATTTAGACAACCAGTTAAGAGGAACTGTTCCGCAGATCATCTGTAGTACATATCCCTAGGATCAAGCTGATTTACTTGCTATAAAATGCCCATCAAAAGAAACTAGCAGGAGTAATCTGTACTAGGAATCTTGTAGAGAGCAATTGGGATAGAAAGTAAATGCAAAACTTTGAACTAAGCTTGAGTTCTTAACATGAGAAGTGTTGTATTTTCCAGTTTAACATGGTACCCCAGCAAGCAACGAGGTTCTCAAGAGCCTTTGTTTCATTTTTTGGATTATTTTCTCTGAGGATGTGGGCAGTGCTCCGAAAGTACTGTCTGCTGAGTACCTGTGTGACATAGCATTGATTTCCATCGTTTTTTTGGGGAAATTGGGCTGTATGTGCAAGTGCAAAAGCTGCATGTAACCCTTTAAGACATAAGTTTCTTGACAAAACTGTTATTTAGAAAGGCCCGAGTTCTCTACAAAAATGTAAGTTACAGTAGAGGTGTTTAAATGTATAATTGAAATGGATAGAAAAGGTGCCTGTCTGTTCCTTCATTTACAGGAAGGGTTAAAAACCTAACCACAGTGTGAGTGTAATGTGTTGGATGTGATGTTTGTAATATCTAGTGTCAGGCAAACATACATTTTTTGTTAATGCTCTTTCTTTGTGTTTCTCTGAAGAATGAAAATTGAGTCAAAATAAATGATAAAAGTTTGCTAGATACTTTCCTTGTGTTTTTTTCCAAATTTGCTTCTTAGATTTTCCACACAGATTAGTGTGTCTGCTATCATTATTTATTGCCTGCTCATTATTTTTGCTGATATACTAAAGGATACAAAACACTTCTGTTGCTCTGTTCTAAAACTGAATTGTTCCATTATTTTAATTGAGAGTTTTGCCAGATTAAAAAGAAACTAAATATGAGCATCATGCTTTATTTTAGTGAGGAAAATTGCTGTATTATTTAGAGAACGTGCTCTAAATTTGAGCAGACTGCAGTGTTGTAACTAGCAACATAAAATAGTGCTTAATTGAGGGCTTTTGCTGCGCTTGAAGAGCAGACTCATTTTTAACTTTTAACCTTGTTGGATCGTTTCAGATCTCAGCCACAGTGGATTGGGAGACCATTATGAGAATTCCCACTGGGGACAGCAGCCCACTTTCAGGAGTGAAGGCAACTGCAGCTGGGATAAAGTGATAATAGACAGAACTGACAAGGAAGCGTGGCCTTCCATTACCGGAGCTGAGACTGAGTCTGCCTCAGAATGTACTACAGACACTGACTCTGCCTCCAACTGTGGCTCAGAGAACAGTAGCATGGCTACAGGGAGTGCCCAAGGCAACTTCACTGGACATACAAAGAAAACTAATGGCAATAATGGCGCCAACGGAGCACTCGTCCAAAGCACTTCTAACCAGAGTGCCCTTGGAGCTGGTGGAGCAAACGGTAACGGCAACTCGGCCAGAGTGTGGGGGGTGGCTGCTGGCTCCAGCTCTGGCCTAGCTCACTGCTCTGCCAGTGCTGGGGATGGAAAGATGGACAACATGATGGGAGATGGTAGAAGTCAGAACTGTTGGGGTGCTTCCAACTCGAATGCTGGCATTAATCTTAACCTTAACCCTAATGCCAATCCAGCTGCCTGGCCTGTACTTGGACATGAAGGAACTGTGGGAGCAGGCAACCCTTCCAGTATTTGCGGTCCAGTCAGTGCCATAGGTCAGAACATGGGCAACCAGAATGGGAACCCAACAGGCACCTTAGGTGCTTGGGGAAACTTGCTGCCGCAAGAGAGCACAGAACCACAAACGTCCACTTCTCAGAATGTGTCTTTCAGCGTACAACCTCAGAACCTTAACACTGATGGACCAAATAACACTAACCCCATGAACTCTTCACCAAACCCTATCAATGCAATGCAGACAAATGGACTGCCGAACTGGGGGATGGCCGTTGGTATGGGGGCCATCATCCCACCCCACCTGCAAGGCCTTCCTGGTGCTAACGGAACATCAGTTTCTCAAGTCAGCGGGGGCAGTGGTGAAGGAATGAGCAGTTCAGTGTGGGGGATGTCCCCAGCTAATCCTGCCACAGGAAACAGCAATTCTGGGTTCAGTCAGGGGAATGGAGACACTGTGAACTCAGCATTAAGTGCTAAACAAAATGGATCCAGCAGTGCTGTGCAAAAGGAAGGAAACGGAGCGAGCGCGTGGGATTCGGGGCCTCCTTCTGGTCCTGGGGTACTAGCGTGGGGCAGGGGTGGTGGCAACAGTGGTGTTGGTAGTATGCATTCTGGAGCATGGGGCCACCCCAACCGGAACACCAGTAACGGTGTGAACGGGGAATGGGGCAAGCCCCCAAACCAGCATTCCAATAGCGACGTCAACGGGAAAGGATCAACAGGGTGGGATAGCTCTAGTGTTACCAGTCCGAATCCTGCCATGCAGCAGGGCAATGAACAAATAAACTCTTGGGCCAAAGCTGCAGCATCTGGCACCACAGCTAGTGAAGGAAGTAATGACAGTGGTGGGAGCCAAAATGAAGGCAGTACTGGAAGGGAGGGGGCTGGAGAGGGGAGGAGGAGAGACAAAGGGATGATAGACCAAGGGCAAGTTCAGTTGCCAAGAAATGACCTTGACCCCAGGGTCCTGTCCAATACAGGGTGGGGACAGACCCCTGTAAAGCAAAACACTGCCTGGGAATTTGAAGAGTCCCCAAGGTCTGAACGAAAGAATGACAATGGAACAGAGGCCTGGGGTTGTGCAGCTACTCAATCTTCAAACTCAGGGGGGAAGAACGATGGGTCCATCATGAACAGTACAAATACCTCTTCAGTATCTGGGTGGGTCAACTCTCCACCAGCAGCTGTTCCAACAAATACAGGTTGGGGAGACAATAACAACAAAGCACCAAATGGCCCAGGGGGATGGGGAGAGTCAGCAAGCTCTACTACTGTTAATAATGCTGCTGCTGCCAAAAGCGGCCACGCTTGGAGTGGGACCGCAAATCAGGAGGACAAATCACCTACCTGGGGTGAACCTCAGAAACCCAAATCTCAAAACTGGGGAGATGGACAGAAATCAAATCCAAGCTGGACTTCAGGAGGTGGAGATTGGACAGATTCATCATCTGTTCCTGGACACTTGGGTGATGGGAAGAAGAATGGATCTGGATGGGATTCTGACAGTAGATCAGGGTCTGGTTGGAATGATTCCACAAGGTCTGGGACCAATGGGTGGGGAAATGGCACAAACAGCAAGGCTAATACAGGTACAAGTTGGGGAGAATCTTTAAAGCCAAGCCCCCAACAAAACTGGGCTAATAAACCCCAGGACAACAATGTAAGTAACTGGGGAGGAGCTGCTTCTGTCAAACAGACGGGGTCAGGGTGGGTTGGTGGGCCAGTGCCAGCCAAACAAAAAGAGAACTGTGAGGCAACTGGCTGGGAAGAGCCGTCTCCACCGTCCATTCGCCGCAAGATGGAAATTGATGATGGTACCTCAGCTTGGGGCGACCCAAATTACAACAACAACAAGACTGTAAACATGTGGGATAGAAATAATCCTATAATTCAGAGCAGTACCACAACCAATACCACCACCACTAGCACCATTATCAGCACCAACATGGTTGAACCTCAGCCATCGCACCAGTCAAGTGCCCAGCCAAACCGGTCCCCGCTGCTTGGTCCAGGTATGAAAATAGTTTTATAACACGCTTTATGCAGATTACTGAATGTTGCCTGACTGTGGTTAAAGATAGAAATGTTGTATTTATGTCATGCAGTGAGTTTATTTGTATACTCTGAAACAGTGTTAACTTGTTGTCTTGAGGACAACAAAACCCATGGAACCTGACACGCAGAATTCCATAGTCCAAGTGAACATAAGAAAGGCTTGAAACAATATCTGGTCAGTAATGTGCTGGATCCTTAGATGGTTGATCCATACTTACTTTGTCAGTTCTTCCACTGTTACTTAGCACTTTCTTTGAATTCAACCCTAGGAGAGTTTGGGGCCTTTTGGCTAACCTTTATACTATTGTCTTCTTGTACCCTTGCTCAGTCCTTGTTGTTGTTCAGGCAGAATGCATCCGTTTCTTTTCTGCAACCCATATCTCTTGGCAGCATATGTGGTATAAGGGTTGCATGAATTCAGGCTCTTGCTGTTTCTCTGTTGTCTGTTGTCTTTTATGAAGAAATGATTCTCTTCCATACTTCAGGTCTTAAGCATGGGTAGTACCCTGGGCTTATACGTGATTCTCATAAAGCTAGACTAGTTAAAGATGTTAATATTCAGTCAGGCTGAGAAAAGTTATTCTTAACTTCAGCTGTGTTCCAAAGACAAGTTTTTAGGCATCCAGGTATTTTTCTAATCAAAGACAGAGTACTGCAGTAGACAAGAGTCAGGGAATAAAAATGGGGGAAAAAAGGAGAAAACGGCTTAGGGGGAGGTATTGAAATAAAAGTTTCTGGGAGCTCTGCTCTATATCATGACCACAGACTTCTCAAAATAAATCTAGTCTTGTAGTGCTCTTTGAAATTCTTCGTCTGATTTTTGTCTCCAAGTTTCTGTTTCGTCTTTGTCGTGGCTGAACATTGACTTCTTCACCATGTTTTTCTCCAAGTGGGATTTATTCTCTTATTTCCATCATTTTTCTCTTTGATGTTGTGAAGTAATTAAAACTTACTGTAATATCTGTTTAAAAATAGTCTTGTGTTCCCAACTGTGGTCAAATATTTTTATGTTTGAGAGTATCTATTGTAATAAAATAACATGTGCTCCAGGAGGACAAATCTTTTAATAGGTTTGTCCTTGGTCAGTCCGACATACATGATCTATAATCCATTTACCTGAAACGTATTTCATCCGTATTTAAAACTTTACCCATGAGACTGACAATTCCAGTTTCTGAATTGTAGTGGAGAGATCATGAAAGTAGGGTTTTGGTGAAGTTCTTTCCAGTAAGATGATTTTTGGATGATTACATTGGTGCTTGTTAGACTGTTTGTATATAGCAGTGTATTGTTAATGCTGCTCAAATAATCTAACACCTTGCAGAGGAGAACTTACTGTTCTGAGTCCTTCAGATGTTGAAAATGAAATTGAAAAGTTAGTTCTAATCTACAGCAATTCCTCTGGTGAATAGCTGGTAGCAAAGGAAGGATTTTTTTGAAATAATGTCTGTGCAATCAGAGAACTGCTTATTAATGGTAACCATCCACTCCTTAAAATGACAGTCTTGTGCATCTTGCAGAAATGTTAATTGGAAGGATTTGAAGATCTAAAGCAAAACCAACAGAAGACAGTTGAAAATATGATTCTGATATTAAAATTTATATCAAGTTATTGAGGGCATAAGTTAGGTCTCTTGTGTATTTTTGCTTACGTACAGTTGTGCACATAGGCATGGATCTAAAGGCCATACTTGGGACTATTTTGAAGGATTATTGTCCAGTCTGCAGCTGGAAGCTAGGAGCAATCCCCTGAGCCTTATGTGTTATGCCCATCTTTACTTTTGACTGTGCCCAGTGGGGTCATGTGCTTATCTTGCACAGAGAGAGCAAAGAATGTCATTTAAAATGATCCTATCAGCTTCCTTATTCACAGTGCAGGAGACCTGATTTAGCATCTGCAGCGCCCAGCAGCTGTACAGCAGTATCCTGTTGGTCTTTGTGCAAATCTACACAGACTTCAAACATCTACAGATCATGTCCCACCTGGGACAGCTGAAAGATGAGAAGTGGGTACTGAGTGGATTTCCAGTGACACAGGCCTGGGCTTGCAGTTTGGTGTCATGCTGTTAAACCTTATTTTTTCCTACTCCAAGTCCGTGTCCAGTTGGCTATGCATTTCCAACCTCTACAGTAAGGGAGACAAGAATCCTGTAGCCAGGGGTCTTTAATCCACAGCCAAATTTCATCCAACAACAATTATTTTCCATCTACAGTATTTCCATGAAAAACCTGATTGTGTAATTAAAGGCTGTGCCATAAGGCACAGGTTTAAAACACATGAACTAAGTAATTACCACTGGCATTTTGTCTTCTGCATGGGTATGACATGCTTTGACAATCATTTTTATGATTCCCTGTTATTCATGGAATATCCCAAATAAGGAAACATGGGTTCTGTTCCTGTGTAAGTGTTGCGTAGCTGTAAGATGGCAGTCACACCTCCTCAAAGCAAAGAAGTGGATTTTAATTCTGCTGTACAGCACTAGTTAGCTGTTCACAAAGGAGCAGCAGCCCCTTTTGGGTTCTATGTTTATACTGTATTAGTTTAGAAGAAGAGGCCAAGTTGTGGTCTTTTTATTCAAGTTGTCACCCATCCCCAGAAGTTCTCAAAGTTCTTTGAATACAAAACTTAAAAGCTATTGATGGGAAGCAGATGTTGGGACACACGTGTTGAAAATACATAATGCTCAGAGGAATTCCTTTTTCTGTCAAAAAAAGGGTGGTGTGTGGATAATGTGGTAAATGTTGTCCTTTCTGGCTATAGAAGCTTGCTACCAAACCACTGGAAGACAAGCAGAAAGCCATTGTAGTGGTTTGGATTTAGATTTAATTTTTATCTAAATTAGTTGAGCATAATTCTTACTGGCACTTTTAACTCTTGCAACTTTGATACAAGGGGAATAAGAAGTGAGAAAAGGTTTTGCAAACAGAGATGATTAAAAGAGAGGGGTTTGGATCCCAGATAGCACAAGATCCTTCCTCCAAATGCTGAAGGGTGGACTTCATACATTCCTATTCCCGTTAGGTAGTTAGAGCCTGGCAGGTCCATCCTCCAGCTGAGAAAAGAAACAGCAAAACATAATGTAAGCTTCCCTCTGGAGATTTTAGGTTGAAATTCAGAATGTCTGAAAGCTCTGAACGTCATCTGCTCCTTTTACATTCCTGTGCTGTTGTCTTGGTGGCAACTTCTGTGTCATTCGTAGCATGTAATTGCTGTGAAGCAGAGAATGCAAGTGATGTGTTTTTCGTACTTTGAACTTTAGTTAGAATGGATATGAAACTAGATCAGCTTTGAGCTTTGTTAGGATGCTCAAGTAAAAACCTAAAACCCTGTGCTCAGCCCTCTAACAGCCAGGTTCTGGGCACAGCCAAGTAATCCTGAGCAACCTGCCCTCTGTTTCTACACAAAGTTGATCTCAGTGCTGAAAGCCAAATGAGAGCTTCCCTAATGGTTCCCTAAATCATGGAGCTCCACCATATGAACTGGAATGCCTTTCAAAAAGTGAAGACTTAAAATGTTAAGGGTTACAGGAGACATATAAAAAACCTTCCCTTTTACAGCCCCTCCCCCCCATCTTATTTGTTTTCTATTATTAGCAGATTAACTAGTGACTGTTTAGTAAACAATCTCTCTTCTACCTAATTTTTTCCTTTTTCATGGACATCAGGTTCTAATATTTGGGTTGCCTGTATTGTAGTCATATGCTCTGGTATTTATCACAGACAAAACAACTTAAAGGAAAACAATTCCTGCCATCCAAATGGCTATAGGGTTATTTTGAGGGAAAACAACTGCATCCTGCCACAGCTTAGTTAACATTTCACTTTCCCTTGAGGATTTCCTCTTGGATGTAGCCCAATGTTAATTATGTTTTTATTTCTATAAAACAAAGCTCTGCCAATGTGTACATATTTATTACTCTCTGTGATCTTTTTGTTTCTTGCAATTAGAACAGTATTTAAAAACTTCAGTATTAAAATCTCACTTTTCTTGCCAGAGAACCCTTTAACAGAGCTCATTCTGTTGCAAAACAACATCCAGCAGATCTGGGTGGTTGCTGAGGCATGGAGCTGTAGGAACAGCCTAAATGAGTATTATTTTCCTAAAGAAAATAAGCTTTCTGTGAGCAGAATTTTTGAAAACATGAGGTGGATTCAGGTTTGGGGATTCCTGTAAAGGTGTCATCCTTCCTAACAGCTATGTGAAGGAGTTTAAAAGTAGCTTCTTTGCCTTCATTCAATCCCCCTGTAATGCCATTTGTGAGCTGCCCTTCTGGTGAGGTGTGTGATAACCCTGGGAAGCATCACACTATAGAGACAAGCTGTTGGGACTACATAATCTTTGAACTAATATTCCACCCGCATCTGTTTCAAATATGGAACGTACTGGGTTATTGGAAAAAAAAAAAGAGGAAAAACCTTGTTTAAAAAAGAAAGTCCTTTGGAGAATTCAAAGAGAATGTCTTCTTTCACCTGTAGGATTTGCAGCATTCACTCCAAAGCCTATTTTTATTGACCTTTTAAAAGTTTCTAAAGTAGTCATATGGAGTCATGAAAAGGCAGCAGAGAAACATGTATGTATTCATACAGTAGCATGAAGACTGCAGGTACTTGACACAGAGGGAAGAACAGGTTTGTAACTGATGAGTACTCTGGAATTCACATACACAAATTATTTCTCCAGCAGCCTTCAGGTTTGATTTACTCGTTCTCTGCGCTTCATTTGATCTGTTAATATACTTTTGAAAACTTGTAGTTGATGCATTTTTTTCCTGCTTTTATGTATTTGCAGGTATTCTCTTTAGCAATGATTGGCTCCCTCATTTGTAATCCCGTGTTATTTACTGCTCAGTGCATTTATAGCACGTAACTCAAAATAACTTTGACATTACACATCTGTGGTCTTTAATCAACGTTGTTGAATTTACAGTAAAGGGAACACAAGGACCAATACTTATTCTTACAGAGGTTTTATCCTACAACCTAGCACACTTTGCCTTTTTAGTCTTTGAATTTTGTGCTTTAAGGTTGATTTCATAAATTGAATTACTTGGAGTTTCCAGTCTAGGTTGCACAAGCTCAGGGGAATATCAGTATTCTACGCTCTGTTAGTATTTGTATTCCTGTGGGTGCTTTAGAGATGTTTTGGTTTTGGTTTCATTTGCCTGCAGTTAATCTTTTTCAGATGCCAGTGTGATTAAATACACACAGTTGTCTGACAAGGTTACCTCCTGAGTAGCGAGGCAGAAATTCCAATAAAGTGTTCCTTAAATAAAGTTGGCTTCAAGATATAGGCAGAAGGCTTGAAGAAGTGTTTTAGGTGCAACACCAAGGAAGTTGTGTTAAATAGAGGTTCATTTATATACATACACGTGTCTCTCTGTGAGTCTGTCTCCTGTACATAAAATAAACAAATATAAGATAGGTTGGTAGAGGTTAGAACACACTATTTTAGTTTCAAATGGAAAGCACTTTAATAAAAAGGTGAATTTTAGGGTTGTCTCAGGAGTGTGTTTTAAATCACGATGAATGTTGCTGGTAGTGAAGGAGCTTTATTAAGCTGCATGTTCCTGAACATGTGGGCTTAGTCTGGATATGTTTTATGCCGTATGCACTTTGATCCGTATCTGAGAGATCTGCAGTTGCTTTAGGAAATAGAGCCTAAAATAAATCTGTAATACGTGAACACTGGAGCAGTGGGCAGATCTGAGCCCATCTATTTGAGAGGAATTTTCTTCTCTGCTAGCCAGTGTTGGAGTTGTTATTGGCGACGTATGTTGCCTGCAGTTTCTAGTACAGAAATCTTGTTGAAATCAGTAAGTTGTGCAAAGACTTGGTGCTCACTGAAACACTGTTGCTTAGTTTAATGTATTTCAGGGTACTCTTAAGGAAAGTTCTTTTGTGGCACCTTCCTTGCTGTTGCCTACTTACCCCAGCTGTCAGTTTGTGTAGGAAATGTTATGTTCCTGCTCTTTGAATCCTTTCAAGAGTATTTTTACAGATAGCATCAGGAAGCAAAAAAGAAGTAGTGCTGCAGTGAAATAGGCGTCTAGTCCTTAAATTATGAAATACCCAGACTTCTTAATATTCCTCTCCAGTAAGAAGACAACCAGTTCCTGGATTAGCAGCCTAGTTAACAGTGGAAATTTCAAGCAGATTGAATTCTGCAATGCTTACTGAGGTCGTGGTTGTAATGGAATGGAATGCTTTTTGTGATAATTATAGAAAAATTGGTTAATACCAGGTATGGTATATGTAAAGCTTTTGGTTTCTTGCCTGTTATGTATCTGTCTGCTTGGTATGTTAAAGAGTGCTTCGAACTCCATCTATGATCTAGATTGTCTCTTCAGAAAAAAAACAAACACCTTTTTTTTAAGAGGTGATAGTTGTTTTAAATTCAGTTTGCACTTTTGCTGTGTTGCTCTTTAGGACTCAGTAGCTGTATGGCTGTTCCTGGTACATTCAACTTCAGTGCTAAAATCGGTGTTACAGGGATTTAAGAGCATTACATTCAAGCCAAGCCAGACTAAGAAGGTTTCTTTAGAGTAGGTTACGTCTTTCAGTGAGTTAAAATAATAGTCTGTAGGAAAACAAAGACTTCTACCTGCTGTTCCTCATGATTTGACTATAGGTTTTAATTGCAGTCTTGTTTAGTTCTCCTTAAAAATCATATTTATTATAATGTAGAGGCTCAGTGATGAAGGGGTATGTGGGGAACACAGTCAACCATAAGCTGTAATAAAAGCTTTAAGGAGTGCATGCAACATATAATCTGTGTGGAAAGTGGTAACAAATATCCCACTTTGTAGGGCATGAGAAAAGAGATTTTAGAATGTACAAATAGTGAAAAGGAGCTGAAATAGTTTAAAATCTTTCAGTGAGGCAAGGCCCAGCTCAGATTTGGGTCCAGGTCTCCTGGATGCTCTTACTGCTGTATGTGCTTCCCAAGCCCTGTTTGGTCTGCTCGGAGTATTCCCGATGTACACAGCTGCTCCCTTGGGACCAGGTCTGGTGCTCACATGGCAGCCAGGCTGCTTCCAGCTATGTTAAAAATACTCTTTCTGTCTTGCCAACTTGGTATTGATTAAGAAAAAGACTTTTGAGACCAAATCAAAGGGATTTTATTTTCATATGCTTAATTAGAGTCCCTGTGTCTGCTTACTGGTTCATGCTCGTTCTTCAATAAATTGCCCATCTTTGAAATTATTGACAGAAGAAACCTTTCCTCTTGTCATTATTCTTTTCTCCTTCCCCTTGTTTCAGCAGGCTGGGGAGAAATGCCTGCTGTCCACACAAAGACCGAAGCTTCTTGGGGAGAGCCGTCATCCCCTTCTGCTGCAGTTGATAATGGCACTTCAGCATGGGGGAAACCCCCCAGCAGTGGTACAGGGTGGGGAGATAATCCTGCCGAGTCGGCAGGGACATACGGAAGAACAAATGCTCCAGCTGCTGCCCCAGCACTGTGCAAACCAGGTATGTGCAAGGACCTCACTGCCATAAGAGGATGGGAAAAAACAGCGCAAAGTGCCTCTGTTCTCTGCCCGTATTTTTAAACATCACATCTGGATTTCTTTGCAGTTAAATCAGGGCCTGTTTTAATAATTTCATTCTCAAAACAGCATTAGCTGTCCCAGAATGTTGATATTCCAGATACCAGATTAATACAAAAATATGAATACAGTGCTTCAGGTCAATAAATTTAAAGGCATTCCTTAGAGTACTTTTGAGTACTGCAAAAGGAGTATAGTAGAGATGCAGGAAACAGTGAAACTGCAAAAGAGTGTGAACAGTACTTATTTCTAGGTGCCTGAAAGAAACCTGTATTGGGATGAGAAGCAATTGAGCTCAGTCAGGATAAATGAAAAACAACACATGAGAACACCTAGACAACTTCACTGTTTGCTTACACTGAGGGAAGGGATGTCTTCTTCAGCTGTTAAAACTGTTGACCCGTTCAGGAACATCCTGAAAGACATACTGCTTCACAGTTCCTAACTAATGTTACTTAATAAAAATGCCCTGTCTCTAAGTGCCCTGAAGGCGACAGTGCATGCTTTAGACTTCTGCTTTGGTTGTGGAAGTCTTTACTTTTCACTCCTGCAAAATACTTTGCTGAGAAAAAGTTAGAAGGCCCAGAAAACGTAAAACAAGGAGAAGGTCTTAAGATGAGTAATCCCAGCTTTGAACAGAGTAAACAGAATAAAATGGAATGAGGTAACACAACCTTGTCATTGAATGTGAGGTGCTCCCTGCAGTCCATGTGTCCTTTTAGATTCCATTCTTCTGAGATGGGAGTTGAGTTTCTGACCGTTAATGACCTTGAAATTTGGTTTTGTTCATTAGAAGAATGTAGCAGCTTAAAATGGTGAGATCCATTGAAAGCAAAATAGCACTTAGCAAGAGTGTGGTCGTACTTTAGATTCCTTGTTCCTAGGAGACGGGAATGACGATGACCACAGATCTTACTTGTTCAGTACAAAGCAAGACTTGCTGTTGCTGAACTTTTTCTTTTCTAAAGTATTCAGAGAAGTTTTCTTTTTGCTAGCTTCAAAGAAGGCGTTCTTATCATTTAATGCCAGTTAAGCTATTTGATGAATCTCTGTATCTCTTGAAAATACTCAACATACTGGATATGACATAAAAAGATATTCCTGTTAATTTTGCAGGAAATTGAATAAGGTTTTTCTTCTTCCTCTTTCCTTTCCCTGCAGCTTCAAAATCTATGCAAGAAGGCTGGGGCAGTGGTGGGGATGAAGTGAATCTCAGTACTAGTCAGTGGGAAGATGAAGAAGGAGATATGTGGAATAATACTGCTTCACAAGAGAGCAGTTCCTCCTGTAATTCCTGGGGGAATGCCCCGAAGAAAGGACTTCAAAAGGTAAGACGAAAATCAAGGTACTGGCTAAAAAGGAGTGGAATTAGCGTAACATTTCTAGAGTAATTGTCCTGTTGCATTACACCTGAACTCTTAAATTAGACCTCTGATACCTGAACACAAATGGAGCTTGCCACTACAGTGGTTCAAGTACAGCCTACCTTGTTTCTAGGGGAAAATGGGAGACCTTTGCACCTTGTTTCCAGGGGAAAATGGGAGAACTTTGTACAGTGTTTCCAGGGGAAAATGGGAGAACTTTGACTTTAAGCATGTCAGATGCTTTGGGAGGTTTTGTTGTTGCTTTTGTTTTCTGTAAGTTTTAAAGCTTTCATGTATTGTAAAGAAATGATAATGTATTAACAGAAACAAAAAGTGATAAGGGGGCTCAGACACTTTCCATGGTGGTAGAAAAGCAAACAGTAGTTTGTGATGAAATGGTTCAACAAAAAATACCTATTTCCTATTTTGTGATTTGTATTTCTTAATGTACTCATTGTAAGTTTTGTACTGGTATGAGAACAAAGCAAGCCTGTATTAATGCTGCACTCCATCGGGAAGATACTTTTATGTTAGGAAGTTTTACATTGCACAGTCTTTATTTCAGGACAAGGCCAGGCTGTAACTTAAAGGAATTGGGAATGCATTTAGCCAGTTTGTTTGTTATTCCATTAGCCAACAGTTAGGACAGTGATTTGATGAAGTATGGTTGTTTCTTGTACTGTCCGCAGCCCAAAACAAATCCACGCTTGTCCCTTGGTACTTTCTGGAGAACTGAAAGGAAGAGACTTCTTAAGGATTTTGTGATAGAAAAGCTGCACAGAGATCTTTTAAAGGTGTTTATCTAGACGCTCTTGTTTGTTTTTAAGAAAATACACTGAGTAACATTCTTAACTTCAAGGTTGCAAACTTGGTTTTGGGAATGTTTTTCAGGAAGTGTTGTACTATTTCAGAAACTTTAACTAAAATGAAATTTGTAAATTCAAAGGTGGCTTCAATTCAGTGGTGAGCCAATCAAATGCTAAATAGTACACTGAACACCTCTTCAGCTGAGATAAAATTTGCACACTTTGTGGGGGAAGAGAATCATAGTTACGTTGTTCGGAGGGTTCTTCAATCCTTTCTAAATTAATGTACTAATACATCTTTCAGTAGCATGTATTATTAATATGAAAAACTTACCATCTATTTTATGTACATCTCACTAGTATGAACGTGGGAACCAGACCATTAATGGATTCTCCCAATTTATTTACTAAGGGCATGAAGACATCTAACAAGCAAGATGAGGCCTGGATCATGAACCGTCTGATAAAACAGCTCACAGACATGGGCTTCCCTGTGAGTAGTGTTCACAGACAGAACACCCATGGCCCAGGTTTGGTAGCTTCTGACTATCAGTGTTTCAGACTGTAGCCACAAAAAGATCTTCAGTCTATTCTTCAGGCTGGGAAGTAGTTCTGTTACCTGCATTTAGACATTTCATTTCGTTCAGACTTCCCTATGAGGGTGCTGAGGTGCTGGCACAGGGTGCCCAGAGAAGCTGTGGCTGCCCCATCCCTGGCAGTGTTCAAGGCCAGGTTGGACACAGGGGCTTGGAGCAACCTGCTCTAGTGGAAGGTGTCCCTGCCCGTGGCAGGGGGTTGGAACTGGATGAGCTTTAAGGTCTCCTTCTCACCTAGACCATTCCATGATCCTATGATTATTCTAGTGTCAGAAATCTCCACCAGAAGCTACTAGAGTGCTCTCTGAGATCACTCGATGATACACTTTGCATGATGACATTTATAGATGAAGTTCAGATTTTTATAAAACAGGTGTTACCAGTCCTGTTCCCCTTTTCTTACTAAACATGTAAAGTTATAGTATAGCTGGTTTGGTTTTCTTAGAGGAAGGCATATCTTAGTAATATTTAAGTTGCCCATAGAAAATGGGAAGATGGATTTAAACAGAACAGTAGGATTTGACCTTCTAGAACTGCTACTTACTTGACAAACTGAAACTTGATTGTGGGAATTGCTGAAAGCAGAAAAAAAGTGTGCACAGACATTATTTGTGCTGCCAAGTAAATATGAAACTCAACACTTAAGAGACTTCTCTGTTTTCTCTGTTTGCTTTGAAACCATGTAAGTGTGGTTATTTTTTCTCTAAACGCAATTTGTATGTTTGACAGAGAGAACCAGCAGAAGAGGCCTTGAAGAGCAACAATATGAATCTCGATCAGGCCATGAGTAAGTATCTGTGTGAGTCTTTTTTTCTTCCTTTAAATCAACACAGGAACGATTCATGAGTCTGAGAATTTATTCTTACCCAGATTATGGATAATATTTATTTTCTTGCTTTTGCTTTCTTAAGCAAGACCTACTTCTCTGAACTGCTGATGGCCAATTCATTGTCTTTGTGTTGCCTTTTTCAATACATTTCCCTTTTCTGTGAAGGTGCTCTGCTGGAAAAGAAGGTGGAAATGGACAAGCGTGGAATGGGAGTGACCGACTATAATGGAATGGTCACCAAACCCCTTGGCTGCCGCCCACCACCAATCTCCAAAGAGTCTTCCATGGACCGCCCCACCTTCCTTGACAAGGTAAGTTCAGGAATGTGAATGATATACGAGTCAAAACAGTATATAGTGTAGAAATACTGATGATTTCCACTGTCTGTTTAGAAAGCTGATAGATAATTACATGCTGCTTTTTTTCTTTTCCTCTCTTTTTGCAGTCTTGTGGGGAATTTAAACCTTGTAGAAAGGACCAATGATTTGATCCCCACATAGAAATAAGCAGTGGTCATTTCCAGCGTTACACTTGAAAAGAAAACTTACTAAGGAATCAGTAGTGCAGTGGAACTAGAAATGGGAAGAAAAGGAAATGGATCACAGAAAGCCTTTCACTCTGCAAGAATCCAGAGTCAGTGACCCTTGCCCAAATTAACGATCAGGCAGGACCAAGGCCAAAATCTTGAAGAATTAGGCTCCTAATTCCCGAGTTTTGAGTTCCTTACAGATTTCAGTAGAAGTTTACTACTTAATAGGAACAAAGACCTGAGGTATTTTTGTTACGTAAAGAGCAGACACACAAAATCATAAGTAGCTTCTCTGATGAGCTTCCTTTTCTGTGATCACATATGACAAATTTTCCAGCACTGCATAATGACTGAGAAGGCAGCTCCAGAAGTTTGTGGTGTCCAAGATTCAAACTAAAGAAAGGGATGTAGGGAAAAGCACAGCCAAATCTTCAGTAGGAAATACGATTTACAACCTGACAAAGTCCTACAAAACCCTCAGAATCCTCCCGAAATTATTAATAAGGGAAGAAAAATCTCTTGGTGCTCTTCTTTATTTCACAGATAATTTGAAATATTCTTAAAGATGGGATGGGTGGTTTCTGAATGCAGAAATCTGTGCTTTTCACAAACAATGCTGAAACCAATTCATTTTACACAAGCTGTTTGCAGGATGTGAGACAGAAGTGATCTCCAGTCTTGTTAACACAGGCTGTATTAAAAACTTTACCGACCCTGAGCAGTGGTTATCCTTCCAGCCCTTCTCCCTCTGTTTTCTTAGAGTCTTAACTATAGTGTTATCCTTAAAGTTACGGTTTCTGTTGTGACAGGTTCCCAGGTGTTGTGCTAAGAAAATTGGCATGGTGCTACACTAGGACATCTGATAAATACTGACCTTTTCATGACAACTGTGACTGTTTGCACAGTCATCACAGGCTAAACAGTTTGCTGAGTTTTAGTGTTGGTACAGTGCAAACTGTAAACAAGTTAATTTGATTAAACACAAATGTATCTTACATAATTACAGGTTATTTATATGAATAAGCTAAAATTAGCATCTAGACTAAATTTGCTTTAGAGGGTCCTGGCGTATCAAAAGGTTTTGTGATAGTTCAGTGCTACCACAGTGCTGCAGAAACAAGTATAATAGCAGCTTCCTGCAAAGATTATATGTTGGAAAACTGCTTTTCTGCTTTTGGGGGAATAATAACATTTGCTCTTTCTGGTCTCCCTACTTACAATGGGCACCACATCATTCAGATGCAGTTTTGTTCCCTAAGCCAGACTGAACTGATTGTGTATTTCCTACAATGTCCGGCGCAGTCTGGATCATCTTCATTTTTTTTCCCTTCCTGCCATGTAAAGTTCATTCTTAACTATGGGAAATCCATTTGCTAATGGCAAACTTTAATGAATATGTTGATTGAAAGATCTCTCTCCTGTAGAAGGTCACAAAATTCACGTGGGCATGCCAGTTGACCTTTTGTTTTCTAGGGTAACAGGATCTTGAGTAGTACAGTTATTGCCAGCATGATGCGTAATTACAGAAACATATGTTAAACACCACCATTGAGAAGGGAGTTCTACAATCATTAATATTCATACAGCAAGTAAAATCTGTCAGTCTAGGCATAATCTGTCACAGTGACTTTACTATAACAAAGGAAATAATCCCAAACTATATTTGTTAGCTATCAGAGTGTTGAGCAACTTGGTAAGTGAATTAAGCAAATAGAGTTTCTACTCTAAGAATAGATATTTTTTCCCAAAGAAATTCTTTTCAGATTTACAGCTCATACTACTGGAGCAACTTCTCCAAACCCTCCTTGCCCTTTGAGGTACTATATCGGAGTATTTAGCCTGGAGCTGTCTTGGTTCCTGCTCAGGTCAGTCTTGGTCAGTGGAAAAGCTCTTTGCACAGCTGAAGCACTCCAGCCAACGTTCCTTATTTTACTTATTGTCTTAGCAAGTCATTATCCTTTTGCTTGGCTTTTCTGAGTCTTAAATAAGTTACATGAGGTTCCTTTTCTTGACATTTTAAGTTGAGTTAATGTGCTCACTGCTACTACTCTTTCTTAGCTGATTCTCTCTCAGCTCACCTGAGTTGAGACTCCAGGATTTTTCTCCTGCATTTTCTCTGACAGGTAAAGCCAGCACTTACTCTTTTTTTTCATCTTATGCATTTGAGGAGAATTTGCAGCCCTGACATTTGCTTCTGAACCCATTGAACTCCCTGTTCTCTCTGGATTAGTAGTGGTCTGTTGCAGCTAAACTTCACCTTTGACTGTTTGCTTTCATTTGCTCCTTAGTATTTGCTGCAGATACTCTTTATTGTGTGTCACACTGAGTCAATCTTTGGCACTTAGTTTGTTAATTGTAGTATTTGTCAGGATGTTATCTTGCCCTGTAACACCATAAAAGGAGAAGGGAGAAAATCCAGTGGCTTCGATGAAATAAAGATCCAGCCTAGCAGTACCCTGATAGGTTATCTTATGCTTGGTGGCGATCACGCTGTACTTGGGTGTCAGATTTGCTTGAAGATGTCACCTGGTGTCTTCTGGAGCCATCAAGTTTGTAAGAAAAGCATGTGAGATTTTCCTGGAAGCATCTTAAAAAATACCAGAAATAAGCCCAGAGTGCTTCAAAGGATCTTTCCTGAAAGTGGAGGGATTTGGGTTGGGTACCTCCCACTCCAGAGTTCTGGGACTCAAGTTTGGTGTGCATTCACACCACACCTATTGAGTATTCTAAGCTCAGAAGGAAAATGCGGTGGTTTGCTGATCTGCACTGATCACCACATAATTGAGAATCTTGAACCATTTAGAGATGTCACTTAATTTTTTAGCATAGTGAGGTGCAAGTGTTGAGCTCTGGACTGTTGCATTAGTTGTGTTCAAAAGTCAGGTCAGCTCTAAAGAGAAGTACCATCAGCCTACTTTGGCATTAGTTCAAGCTTGCCTTGTGTGAGGCTTCTATTAGCCCCCTGGCAGACTTGTTTGTCCTCCTACTCTCCTCTACCTTTGAATTTTTAAGCTTTCTCCCATCATGCCAGCAGAGAGACCTGTCGTCTTTGCCCTGATGCTGCTTCCAAACTTTCTCCCAAATTCTTGAGCATGTAGGGGGCTGTGAAACTTCCACCTTACAAATTAAGTCTCCTTTTCAATTCTGTCTTATTTTCTGATTAGTGCATCCTCTCTGCTGTTGAGAAATCCAGGTCTAGAAGCCTTGATGCCTGTTGGCTGCAGTCACGTTCTTCCAAAATATTCTCACTAGATTTCTTCCTTGTTTCTCATTCGAGCACAATGTTGGAATCTTTTCCTAATCATAGAATGGTCAGGTTTTAAGTCCATTTAAAAAAGCTTAAAGCAGTGCTGAATTGAGCATGACAATGACCATTCAGATGTAGGGGGGTTGTTTAATTGATTAGTCTGTGGGAGAAGCCTAACATAAATTTGTAAGAAAACCACTGAAGAGGAAAGGTTAGGTAGGAAAGATTACTCTTCAGGAAACAATCATTACATAAAGGATCCTGAAAAATAATGGGTCAAACTGTTGTCAGGAGTACAGGTGTCACCTCGTCTAGGATGAGAATGACTGAGGAGTACTGGATGTTGACCAGATCCACTTGCAGAGCACAGCTTTGTGCAGCACAGTGGGCACATTATGACAAGTTTAGATTACAAAAATAGAACAAAATGTGAACAATTGTTATAAAATTGCTACAGAAGACATTTGCTGCAGTTCAGCCAAGGAATACGCTTGTGAAAGTGGCTGTGCAGCAAGAGTCTGCTTATTCCGGATATTAGATGCCCAGGTCTGCAGTGTGGCTTGTCCTCCACCATCCCTGGCACTGCCTGTGTCCAAAATGAGAAAAAATAATGGGAATGAGACAAGACTTGAATAAATCTGGGCGACTGGGAGGGATCACATTGGTCTTTCACAGTCAGTAGGCCTGTTCACATAGGAAGCATCTGAAGGAGAGAGCATGCACGGAGCTTGAAATGATTTTCACTTTAAAGGGGGGAGGGTAGAATTGTAAACATATGTCTGTGATCTAAGGAGAAATCCTTGAACCTGTTCCTGTCATGCAAGCTGCAGTTGTTTGTGGAGTGTGACTGATGTCCAGTAGAATGTGAAATATCTTGAGCTGCAAGGCCTTGGGGATATCATTAGAAAATGTCAGTGTCCCCCTCAGGATAGTCAGATAGCATGTCAAGTGTCACTTTGCCTCGTAGTAAAGAAACTTTCTTTGCATCAAAGGGGAGCTGTTGAAAATGCATTTTTCAGGATTAACTTAGAACATAAAATTTACCAAGTGTGCTTGCTGCATCAGCTCATTTACTTGGGTCTCTGTTTTGTGGACTGGGCTGCTTTTGTAACAAAGGAGGTTTATCAGTATCTCACAATCTTCTGGGGCGTTGAATTTATTGGTTGGAAGTACCTAGCTTCTCGCCTGTTTAAAACCCTTTTTTGCAGTGAATATATTGCCTGAAAAACACCAGTCGAGCACATTGCAAATAAAAGATTTTTCACTCTGCCTGTTTTTGGAGCTCTACTTTGTACACAGTGTTATTTGATCATACTTGCCGCAGGCTTCCCAGACATCAAAGCACATTTTGAGATAGAACTCAGTACCCCACTGTATTACTAGCTAGATACCTACCTGTTTGATTGAGGATTATGTGATTTTGTTTTATTTTCTGACTTGCTGTTTGCCTCCTGTGGGCACTGCCTTCTGTGCCTTGTATCCATGTTCAGCTGTGGTTCCTTGCAACCCAGTTACGAGAGGGGGCTCCTTATGTCTTGCTGAAATCTTCCTCCTCTTGGGGGACACTAAGGCGCAGGGTTGCTTTCTCAGGAAGGCCACGCAGACAACATTATCGTTATTGGGTTTAAGTATTTTTGTTCATTGGGTGTGTTAGAGTGTAATGTTTCATAGTGGCTAATAATAACTTAAGTGCTATGTGAATATTAAAAAAGGCTCATGTGTCTCTGTTAGGAAAGGGGATTAAAGCAAAAATGCTTTTTTAAGAGCAGAGCTATGATGTGGAACCAAATACACACTGGCATCAATTCAGCTGATCTGGCCTTTCCCAAGTTCTGGGTTAGCAAAAGCAGTCTGTCCTATGCCTGTGCTCCGCTGCTGAGAGTTCACCAAACAAAAGACTTCCCTGAAATGTGCTGGGTCTCTTCCCTTTCCACCTTTCAGTCTGGTGGAGAGGAGAGGAGAAAATCTAAGGAGGAGGAGATGATGGACACATACTAGCTCTGCTAGAATTAATCCCTCCTTTCCTTCTGGAGAAGTGGGCAAGGGGGATTGTGCATTTGTGAATTAAGTGCAACAAATTAAAGAAAAACAGTACCTTAATCCAATTTCTCTCTTTTTTCTCCCTTCACTTCATACTTTCATTTCCTGTTATTCATACCCTTATTTTTTATTATTATTTAAAATTTTTATCCATTCCATGCCCTTTTATATTCCCATGGCCCACTGTTTGTGCTGCCTGCTCCTGGGCGCCGCACACAGCTCACCCTTTCTTTCTCCAATCAGGATGGCGGCCTAGTGGAAGAGCCCACTACTTCACCATTTTTGCCTTCACCAAGCCTGAAGCTCCCCCTTTCAAACAGTGCACTCCCTAATCAGACCCTGGGCGGGATTGCCTCAGGGCTGGGCATGCAAAACTTGAATTCTTCTAGACAGGTAAGGCTGTCGGGGGAGATTCCAAGTTCAATTTTAGCTCTCTTGGACTCGCTGCTAGTGCCCATCACTGAAAGTGGGTGCAAATCTTTGTTCACATGAAGTATCAATGGAACAGCTTCCCTGCTGTGTAAACATTTCATGTTATAGGACATTAAAACAACTGCTTAGTAGTAATTAGCTTGCTAATTATATGCATCCATTGAGAAGAGACACTAGTGTTACGGATTTATACCATTACCCCTGGTATAGCTCTGCCTTGATTGATGTGAGGTTTCATGTTTTGAGGCGTTGCTAATGGTCACAGAATCTAAGGCAGAGACATTGCTCTAATTTATCTTTCCTGGCTGGCATAATTACTCAGAGATGAGATGGGTGAGAGGTGACAGAGGCT